ACCATTCAGGGTTGGAAGATCTTCTTTAAGTCATCAGCTCTCCCCAGATCAGTCTATCTTCAGCACAATCAAACCCAGTAAAATTTCCAACAGACCTTTTTTTTGTGGACAGATATTGACAACTTAATACCAAAATTTTTATAGAGATGTAAAGCACCTAGAATATCCAAAAATAACTTTTATCAAGAAAAGTAAAGTTGAAGGACTTATCCTACCTGATTTTAGAACTTACTACAAAGTTACATTAATCATGATGGTATGATATTGTCAGGTAGGAATGGACATATAAATAATAGGATAGAATTTAGTATGAAATAAACCCACGCATATGGTCAGTTGATTTTTATTTTACTTTTTGAGGGGGGCTGAAATTTTGATCACCTTTTAAAAATGTTTTATCCAATTATAACATACATAGAGAAAAATGCACACAGTCAACTGATTTTTAGCAAAGAAGACAAATCAGCTCAATGAGGAAAAAATAATTTTTCCAGCAGTTGGTGCTGGGATAATTGGATGTCTGTGTGCAAGCAGTTTAACTTCAACTTGCCTGTCGCATCATACGCAGTTATTAACTCCTTGGGAGACTCCGACGTAAAGCCTAAAACTACAGAAGTTCCATAAGAGAATGTAGGAGAAAAATCTTAGTGACTTTGGTTTAGGCAAAGATTTCTTATATAGGACACACAAAGCACAAAGCAAAAAAAATTCATTACTTAGGCTTCAAAATGAAAAATTTTTGCTTTTTGAAAGACATAACTAAAGAAAAGCAAAGTGCAGACTGGGAAAAGTAATTGCAAAACATATACCTGATAAAGAACGTGTACCCAGAATACAGAATGGACTCTTGCAGCTTAATAATGAGAAACAAACAAACAAACAAAACATGGACAGAAGATTTGAACAGACACTTCTCCAGAGGGATACTAAAATGGTCAATAAGCATGGGAAAAGATGTTTAATTATTTAACATCAGGGAAATGAAAATCAAAACCACAATGGAGAGGGGCGCCTGAGTGGCTCAGTGGGTTAAAGCCTCTGCCTTCGGCTCAGGTCATGATCCCAGGGTCCTGGGATCGAGCCCACATTGGGCTTTCTGCTCAGCGGGGAGCCTGCTTCCCTTCTTCTCTCTCTGCCTGCCTCTCTGCCTACTTCTGATCTCTGTCTGTCAAATAAATAAACAAAAATCTTAAAAAAAAAAACCACAATGGAGATATACCACTACGCACCTATTAGAATGGCTAAAATTAGGGTGCCTGTTTGGCTCAGTCAGTTAAGCATCTGCTTTTGGTGCAGGTCATGATCCCAGGGTCCTGGGATCAAGTCCCATGTCGAGCTCCCTGCTCAGCAGGAAGTGTGCTTCTCCCTCTGTCCTTTTTCCCTGCTCGTGGCTCTCTTTCTCTCAAATAAATAAAGTCTTAAAAAAATAAATCTAAAAGACCAACCATACCATCATTGGCAATGATAAGGAAGAATTGGAACTCTTATATCCCACTGATAGAAATGTAAACTGGAACAGACCCTTTGAAAAACATTAGCAGCTTATTTAAAAGGGAGACATACACGTGCCATATGACTCACCTTTACCCAGGGAGGCAGGAACACAGATGGACACAAAGACTTTGATGCAAATGTTCATAGTAGCTTTATTAATAATGGTCCCAAACTAGAAGGAACCCAAATACCCATCAGCTGAGGAATGGATAAACAAATTGTGACCTATTCATACAATGAAATATTGCTGAATAACAACAAAAGGATTGAACTGTGACCTACTGATTACATACAACAACATGGATAAATTTCAGAACCATTCATGCTAACTAAAAGAAGCCAGACACAAAAGTCTACAAACTGAATTATATCATTCATATGAAATTTTAGAAATGGTGAAACTATAATGACAGAACTTTATGCATATATGGTATTTTTCTTTAAAAGGGGGGAGGGGAGCAAATGAATTCTAGGTTCTTTTGCCCACCTGTGTATCGTAACAGAGGGCATACTGCTGTCTTAAAGATTTTTAACATATGCATAAGCAATCAAAAATTTGTCATAATCATCCAATGAATGAAGTAGATGATTAAGTTGAATTTTTACTATTTGGGATCAATGAAATGTGACTATAACATGCTGAGAATTTTTGTTCTGGCAACCTCAGATAGACTCTGAGAAAACTTCTAGATAGCTAGTTCCAAAAATGATGTCCCCTTATAGCTTCATCATTGGAATAAACTTACAACCTCTTGAATTCAGTGCTTTGAAGGATATAAGATACAAGTGTTTTGAGAATTATCTTTTTTCCCCTCAAAGATAATTGAGCTTAGTTTCCTTTTTTTTTTTTAAGATTTATTTATTTGACAGAGAACACAAGTAGGCAGAGCAGCTGGCAGAGGGAGAGAGAGCTCAAGTTGATAGGGAGAGGGCACACAGAGGGAGAGGGAGAAGTAGGCTCCCCACTGAGCAGAGAGCCTGAAACAGGGCTTGATCCCAGGGGATCATTACCTGACCTGAAGGCAGACACTCAGCCGCCTGAGCCACCCAGGCACCCCTAGTTTTCCTTTTTTTAAACAGTCACTTTGTACTTTTGCTGGTAGTAGCCAGTAATAATCTGATTCTATGTGCAGATAAAGAACCAAAGTCAGATGTCCAAGGAACCAGCCCAGGGGCTGCCAAGCACTCCTGAAAGAATAAGAAATAATTTTCTAATAAACAGAGCTACCGAAATTGACTCGGGCTACCTGGGGATAAGGGGAATTCCCTGAGGTTCGGGTGGTGACTGGACTCAGAGTGTCAGGAGCGCAGGAGAGAAGTTACAAGCATCTCATGAGCGAGAGGCCAATGGGAGAGCTCTGTGGGGACAGAGCTGGAGCCTCGCTCCCTAAATGGCTTCCAGCCAGAAGTGTCCTGAGCCTCACAGGAAAGGCTTCTTGCAGCTTTGGTGTCTGTGGGCGTTTGGATAAAAGTCTTCCGTGGTGTGCCATTTGAATTCAGTTTTCAGGACAGCAATCCCCTACCCTGCTGTTAAAGATGTTACAGAGCATCGCTCTACAGTTCTGAAAGATGCCATCCCGTACGGGTTGAAAACGGTCCCAGAGATCATCTGCAGTAAAGCAAATGTGCAGATTCCCATTTGCTTCAAGGCTACCGAATACCTTTTCATGACACACTAAGTTTTCTGGAAAATAACTGAAGAATTGCCCTTATTATTGGTTTAATGGAGGAGATCGTTAGATCTCTAGCGCAGACATGGATCTTGTGGTAAACGCCGAAAGGCAGCGTTCTTTTTCCAGAAGCACTCGTGGCTTCAAATAATATATTCAGTACTTAAAAGAGCTAGCATCTTCTTCCAAATTGCCTGGCAGAAGAGGAGAAAGCCCCAGATGGTCGGGTTTGGCAGTGCCTGGGCTGCTGTGCTCAGGACACCATCTTTAAAGTAGATGAAGATTTATTTCATAGTCAGGCAAGGAAGGGGAAGCATATTTTAGGATGGAGTATTTAAATGCCTCCCTCCTTAGAAGTTGAGAGAGCATGAACACAGATTCTTTGCACTAAATTAATCCCTACTGTAGTCCTTCTACTAATTTGCTCAGCAAATATTTAGCAAGCACCGCAGAGTATTGTCCTATGGGAGACGGCGTGAGAGGCACAGACGCGAGCCGGATACCAGCCTTAGCCTGAAGTAACTCGATGCAGACAAGATGGAAAAGGAAGCAGCTCCAGGAGTGTGTCTGAAACATGCCAGTTGAATGGGTCAGGGACTAGGGACAGTGGAGGTCAAAGGAAGGAAGGAATATAGCTTTTGAGTTATTTAAGGAAAGAGTGGTTTCTGTGGGCCATGCAAGCAGCCCAAAGGAAGGGGACAAGTGTATCCTATTTGGCAGAAATGTCAAGGAGAATGAGAGGCAATTACTTTGGTGATTAGGATCTTGCTGTTGACCTTCAAGAGTAGGACTTTGAGGAGAGCATGCTATCGGAAGCCAGATTGTAGTGAGCTACAGGGCAGGTTATTTGGGGAAATGGAGAATTGGTCACTCATTGAAGATGTCTGCTAGTCAAGGGGGTAAGTACAACACAGTCGATGAGATTTTATTCCTCAGAAGGATAAATTGTTATTTTGAGAGCAGAGTCTGCTCTCCGGGTTATTGAAGGGAGAGATTAAATATGTTTGAAAGGGAATGATTGCATTGCAAGATCCTGGGGAGAAAAATGTTAATAAAGGAAAGAACCACAGGATAATTGATAGTATTTTTGATAGGGAAATGAACTGCCATAATCTGTATTTTTGCATTTTATGTAAAGAGATAACATTAAGAAATATCTGTAACATTAAGAAACTATCTATTCAGAAACTGAAATATCATTAGTGATTAGTAATTCAAGTAAGAAGTTGGGCAGGAAGAAAAATTAAAAGTAGTTCCATATTTAGAGTCTTGTTCTTTAAAGAACATTAATGATTTATACCCTCTGGTAGTCATTTAACGGGGTTATTCCTTATCTTCCAATGGAACACCAAGAAATGCACACTGAAGAGAGTGGTTTTCCTGGACCTCCCCTCTGCCTCTTATATCCGTCAGACTTAGTCCCCGCACGCACCAGAGCTTGTCAGGCTAACCACCATTTCATGTCACTGGTTGGTGAGCCACGTTGGAAAGGAGAGGCAAGTAGCCTCTGTGCTGGGTGAGACTTACCATCCCCATGAAGCTTGCTTTACCACAGGATAGTTTTCCAAGAGCTCTGTCACTGAGGAGGAAGCAAGTTTAATCCCCACCATGACCTCCACTGTGGAAGATTTCAGGGGGTTGGGCAAGACACTGGGAGAATATTTGCATGCATGTGTTGTGTGTGCTCACTCAGCCTGAATGGGTAACCTGTCATACCACCTCCTCACTGTTCGACATCAGTACTTGCGTCTCTGGCTCCTTCAGAAGTCAGTGTGTCACTCAAAGGCATTTTTCTCCCTGAAGGACCTCACGGTGTTTTACCCTTGTCCTCCTCAGACACAGGTGTGTTTGCAGTGGTGAATAGCCATTCCTTGTCTCTGCTCGGGAAGCTGACGATCAGCGCGGCCTTTAACGTGGTGTACATCTACACCTCTGAGCTGTACCCCACGGTCATCAGGTGCGCCTCACACACCCTGCATGTTTTGTGGTAGACGCTTGCCACAGCGGAGGTATGGTTCTCGTTCCACCGGGACCATAGTTAGGGTGGGCCAGCAACAGTTCAGCAAGCTGGCTTAAGCCCAGAAACTGCCTGTGTGGACTGCACTCGGCCCACTTGGCTGAGGAAAACGTAGCTATATTTTGAGCTAAGTTCCCTCATGTAAATCGTGAGAGAAGTCCTCTACACTAAACACATCCCATCACCCAAAGACTGCTCGGATGCCATCTTGATTTCAGCAGACTGGATTTATTCAGTCACCCATCCTGTCTCAGGCACCTGTCAGGCAAGGGGACTTGGTCCCTGTTGTCACGGAACCTACATCTTCACCCAAAATATACACATTGTTAAAAAGGTAATTCCACTTAGAAGTGAAGATGAGGTTTCCATATTAGTTTATAAATGTGGTTTCTAATGAGTAGGACATGCTCCTATCAAAGGGAACATATTCTGTCTGAAGTTTCCCCTCATAAAATAAGTCTGAAAACCAAACGTGGAGGGCAGGGATGTGGCTCAGTCTTCTTAGAACTGCCTTTGTGGGCCAGGCAGGGGTTCCCTAGCTCAGCACTTCCCCAGGCTTTTCAGAGATCATTCCAAATGTTTCCCTCATCCCTGCAAACTTAATGATTCTTTCTGCCTATTAATTTTAAATCCCTTTCCCCCCGAGTTTTTCCCAGGCTGTCTGTGATGAGCCAGTCATTTCCTAATTATTCCTCTGACCTGTTTTCTTTGGCTGCCAGCTGTGATGCTAGGATGACCATTTTGTCCAAACTGGGACACTTTTGAGAGCAATCAGGCTGGGTCAAAAGGGTGATATCTGGCCACCCCACCTGTAACCACTCTCATTCCCACTCCCTCCCATCACTTGCATGGCTGTACTCCTCACAAAGGTAATGTTCGTGGTTTCCTGAGAATATGTGCTCAATTCGTATTCATATGCCTGACCCTTGAATCGTCAATTAGTTGAATTTAAATAAATGGGCAGACTTCTCAGATCATAAAACCCTGGCTCTCCATGGGTATATCAATTCATAGGAAACCTCACACACAAAAACCCATTAAGAACATTGGACAAGAAATATTCTCATGGTCATTTCTGCACCGTCCTCTGTGATAACTGCACTGTCCAGTGTGGTAGTTACTAGCCTCGTGTGGCTATTTAAATTTAAACTAATTAAAATGAAGTAAATGAAAAACCCAGTTCCTTGTTCTCACTAGCCCCATTTCCAGTGCTCGTAGCAGCAGGTGTCTAGCAACTTTCATATTGGACAGTGTGGTTACAGAACATTTCCAGAACCTCAGAATGTTCCAGAATGTTTCACTGCTCTAAAGGAGACCATGCTTCTTCCACCTTGGGATTTATTATTATAGGCCCATTACAGGGTTTTTACATTCCCCTGCCCCAGAACTTACTGATTTTCCATTTTTTTTTATGCCTTTCAGGAACGTTGGGCTTGGAACTTGTTCTATGTTCTCCCGAGTTGGTGGGATTATTGCTCCCTTCATCCCCTCACTGGTTGGTTTGTACCTCCTGGTTTTGTTTTTCTGGATTCTCTGCTTTGGAAATGTTTGTACCTTTGCTTACAACGTGGTAGCAAACAGTTGCCACTGAAGATCAGCCTGCCCCGAGTGGGAAGCTTGTCCTTTTAGATTACGTATCGCTCAGGACACAGGGGCTCTGACCCAGGATGCTCTCACCCTCGAGACTCTGAGTGTCTGCTTATCTGCATTCATTGGAGAGTTAGCTAATACCGGCATGCCTCTTCCTGTCTCCATTCATAAGTCAGTCAGTGAATATTTGTGAAGCTTCTGCAGTGTGCTGGGCTCTGTGCCGAGCGCTTCAACATTTGTCGCAAGCTTCACAAGAACCATGTGAGGCAGGGATAGTTATTATCCTCTATTAAAGAGGAGAAATTCAGCAGAAACGGGCTATATAACTTGCCCAAAGTCATACCACTTAGACAAGAAAATTAGAAGAGAAACATGCCTAGTCGTGGGTCTATTAAGAGCTTTTTAGCGTTTTCTAAATTTCACAGTCAAGAGAAAGAGGGTAGACTTAAGAGCTGCCCTGAAAATCCTTCCAGTCTTGAAATGTTCTGGTTCGGTGATGGATTAATCCACAGAGCCCCTGCACATGTCTCTGCTGGGTCCAACCTGTGGCCCTCCCAGCCAGTACTCAACAAAGGGTGACTGGATGTGCTTTGTAGACAGCTGTTCTCCCCACCTCCTAGCCATGCCGGCAGGCCAGGTCCAAGCACCCAGGGGGTTCCTGCAGGACCAGCCAAGAGAGTCCTTGGCTTCACGCAGCATGGCAGTCAAGTGAGCCGGCAGGAGGTGAAACAGTTCATTGAAGATCCAGAGAGACCAGATACAGACGGAGTGACTGGGAGGCTCAGAAAGGAAAGGAGGGAGTCTCGTCTTTGTCCAGGGGGCTGCGAGTGGTCTGGTGTATGTGTCCTCTCAGGCATTCAGGCATCCAGGAACCGGTTAGAACAAAGACAAGGGCACCAGTGTTATTTCTTGGAGCCAAGGGGTCTTGGCATGAAGATGTCTAGAAGTCTCCTGTGGTCTGGAATGTGCATACAGTAGCTTCACCTGGTCGCTCTCCCCTGGTCCTTCCGGAGATGTTATCTGCTCTAGAGAAATCATTAAGTCTTGGCCCCTGCAAGAAGGACCTGTGTGATTTGCATTATAAGCCTGTGTAAAGTCAAGTGGGGGTGCAGGTCTGAGCAACCGGAGAAGCAGGAAAAGCAGCAAAGGGAAAACCAGCCTTTTCTCTCACAGCATCTCTTTGGTTTCCTGGTCTCACTAGTATAGGAGGGTGTCTCTGAAATCCCACCGTGACCTTTTCATTCTCTTTCTTTCTTCCTTTCAATCTTTCTGGTCTTTCTGTCTTTCTATCTTTGACTTGCAGTACACTTCCTTTTCATGAGTATCTCTTTCCATGTCTCCTGCTTAATTTCACCCGGTCAGAGCCTTCCTCTAATATATATTTGTCCCATTCTGTAAAGCGTGTGGGACATTAGGGGCTTATCTCTAAAGATCTCTGGACTCTGTCTGGCTCTCCTAGAACATTTGACTACCTAGCCCTGGGTCTCTGTTCCTGCTCAGTTGAGAAGAGGTGAGAGCGTTGTGTCCCCCGTGACTCAGCAGCACACCCACAGTGTTGGACCTGTGTGTGAATGTGGGATCCAGAAGTGAGATTCTGCCTGGCTACCTCCGTCCCCTGCACTGCCTTGTCCATCATCTCTTTACTTCTGAAAAATCAGGCAGAGGATATCCTAACTAGGAGTGGTCCTATCCCCACAATTTGGAAGCCCAAATAAGATAAAGCTAAACAACTCCTAACAAGAACTCAGGAATGTTAATGAGCTCAGAAAGGCCCCCAAAGCAACATGCCAGTGGCTGGAGAGCAGCACACAGTTTTCTGTGCTGTTATCTTTGAACCTGTTTGTGTTTGGAGAAACTCTACATTTTCCCGAGAATGTCTGTTGGATCTCTGAAGCAAAGCTGTATCTCCCTGTTCGGTTCGGGTAGTTTCCGAACCGCACGGACATGCCAGGGTTCTTTAGGTTTTTCTTTTTCTTTTCAGGATGTTCATACCTTTAACCCTTGTCCTCCCAGGTATGTTGCTGAAGTGGGAGAGCGGGGTTCTTGTCTCCTGGAGTTGAAGAATGAATCTTGTGGACAAAGGAGAGAGGAAAGGGATAGATTTTTTATTAACCAGGGATACAGAGGAAAAAAAAAAAAAAAAAAAGCTCTCAGGAGAGAGAGGGGCCCCAACAGGGTTGCTGCCCCTGAGGGCTTTTAGGGTAGGTCTTTTATTGAATACTAACCAGGGAACTTAAATCTTTTTAATTTCTCTACTGATAGCACCTTTGTGTAAGGACCAGTGATAACATCTTTAACAGCTTACTTTTTTTTTTTAAGGATCGGGTTATTCTCTGTTAGATCCCAGGTGACTGTCATAAAAAAGACCCCCTCCAGGGACACCTAGGGCAAGGCAATCTGGTGTTTTCCTTTATCTCTGGTTTCCTCACACCTCCACATTTGGGGGATTGCTGTGAACCTGATCACAGAGCCCCCTCCCTATCTCTCCCTACGAGCCCCTCCCGTCCCTTACTCAGTGCTAAGTGAATCAGCGAGCTTGGTGGGTGGGGGGATGGTTTGGCTGATACGAGTGTGGAGAACTTTAAAGTTTATGGTGATCAAGTCTTTGGGGTACCTCCCAAGCAACGTGTATGTGGAGATCCCTGTGATCTAAGGGAGTTGCCTGCAGTGAAAGCAGTACCCACCCCCCACTTCCATTCTGATCCTCATACCTCTGAGGCTTTTCTGTGTACTCACCCCCACTTCTCCATGCCTGAGCAACCACTCCATGATTTTCCAGGGTAACTCTCCATGGGGGAAGAAGTGGCTTCTAGTGTATTCTAGTGGGAAGGCATGACCTGGATAGTAAGCATGGCCATGCCTCGGGCACAGACTACTGATGTCACATGCTGGGAACCAGATACCGAGTTTTCATGTTTTTGTTTTACTCCCTGCCCCCACAGAGATATGTGCAGTGGTCTTTACCCTTCATTATCTTTGGAGCCACCGGCCTGACTTCGGGCCTCCTGAGTTTGTTATTGCCGGAAACCCTTAACAGCCCACTGCTAGAGACATTTTCTGATCTTCAGGTGTATTCATATCGGAGACTGGGGGAGGAAGCGTTGTCCTTACAGACCTTGGATCCCCCACAGGTATGGTGTGGTTTTCTTAATCATTCACAAGTATCACTTGGGAGGATGACAGTTTGGGGAGCAGGAGGAGAGAATGTTCTGGTTACATTTAATAGAACCAAGCAAAGCTGTTGGAAAACAAAGGTATGGGATTAATAGCAGCTGGTTTTTTAGAGAAATGAAGATGGCCGGTGAGTCATTCACTTTTGTAGAACACTTTAGGGTGAAATCTTAGGGGAGAAGATGTCATAAAGATTCATTTGTCGGTTGAGTGCTAGTTAGTAATTTTCATTTTAGAAATGTCATGGTGTCATGTGACCATTCTGGTTCTCTTTTCCCGTTTCAGTCTGAGGACAAGGATGACACTGTAGGCAGTGAGAGTGAGGAAGAGGAAGAGTTCTTCGATGCGGACGAAGAAACCCAGATGATTAAGTGAAGTGGCCCCGGATCCCACGTCACAAGCAGACAATCTCCTCGCCTCTTGCGAAGGCAGGCTTTCCTGGGAAGCGTCGAGAGTTGTGGAAGTACAGGCTTGCACACACACAGAAGATCCTCAGCGCGGCTCGTTTTTTTCAGGTGCAAAGGAAGATGGAGAAGAGATTTCATGAGTGAGGATATCACTGTACTGAGCGAGTAGTCGTTCATTAGTCGGCAGTTCAGGTTTATTTCTGAACCATGACTTCTGGCCAGAGAGCTCCAATCCACATGCCAGAGTGGAAAGCTAATTTGTTTCTGGAAGTCTGATCGTGTTGCTTATCCTTGATCATGCCTAAAGGCAGACATGTAAAATTCCTTCTGCCCTCTTAGTGGGCTAAGATAAACCATCCTTAAGATTTCATCCTAATACCATATTTGACATCTACCCCTTATCATTTGTGCCTCACCAGGAATCTCTCCAGGCCGACTGGTGTTCGCATTCCAGTTTCATGCCAGAGGAAAAGCACTGAGAGGACATTGTGTGTGGCCCAAGGCCTCCAGCTTTCCCCTAACTGATGAGAGGTGGGTCCACCCCACTCGCTTCCCAGGCTCAGGGTTGGCTTGAGTACCCTGTGTCTTGAGCCCCACAGACAATCCCCTGAAAAAGCCAACTGTACTTAAGCAATTTTTCTCAAAGCCAGAGGTGTGCTGCAGCTCCCGGTCCACTCCCTTTGACAGGCAGCTTGTGTCACTTCCTCAGTCCTGACTTGGGCACATCTCCAGACACCGGTCCATCTCAGATTCCAGTACCAGCAATCACTTCAGAACTGGGCTCACTAAGGGATGAAGCTTCGTGAAGGTGGAGGGCAGCCACAGCGTGACAGACATGTCAAGCATTTGAAAAGGGGCAGCTTTTATAAGGAAGAAAAGAAAATGATCTGTCACGGGTTTTCGTTCTGTTTTCTGCGTTGTGCAATGAGGTACTTAGGCAACCGCTAAGAACTTGAACACTTCTAATTCCAGGTCAGTCCCTGCCTCTGTGTCAGAGTGGAAAGCAAGTAATTTCATAGGAAGTGTGGTTTTTTTCATGAAGTACTGCCAACTTTCAAATAAGTCTGTCACACATAGTTTTCTAAAATCATATGCTGAAAGGACCTGTTTCCCTCGAAACTTGAATGCTATCTCAAGTAGGAGTGTTAACCTGGAGTCAGGAAGTTTGTGCAATATGGCTTTAGGCCACTTTCCCAACCAGGAACTTTACTGTGTCTTCAGAATTTCTCATTTTATTAACTCTCGGAGAAAGAAGTTGCACTGAAGTTAAAGAGAAGACGTCTTGGGGCCTGCTTCTGGAAATCTCGGAGGCATCACCCCCAGCTGGCTCTGACACTTCCCCAACTGCTTCCACATTAACCTCTTGGTTTATACCCTATCAGTCTGTACCTTTGTATTGGTTAAAGTATTGTTATGTCCTTTATGCCTTTGATGATATTTTGAGCTCTTCATACATAGGGGCCATCTTTCCTGCTGTTTGTTTCTCTCTGCTGTGTCCAGAAGAATATGGGCCTAGACACAGTAAGGACCTAATAAATATTGCTATTTCTAACCAAGAAAACTGTGGATGTGAATGATGCTTGCAATATCATTTTTATAAATCCCAGGCAAATATGACCCCCACCCCCAAACTGTGGAATCCTGCTTGTCTATCTCTGGCAGATGGAGACCCTGCCCACCACCAGGAGAAGAAGAGAGGAGGAACTTACAAGGACACTTAGAAGATCTTCTTAGTGGCTGGGCATTAAAAATAAAACAACTGACATATGTGTGCCCTTTGGTCAATTAGTGCGTTCTTTGCCTTATGAGGATAACATGTCCCATTAGAGAAAATTTGGAAACTAGAAGTTAAAAAAAAAAAAAAAAAAAAAACATAGGCCCAACACCCAAAGGCAACCAGTGTTATGGCTTTGTTCTAACTGAAGACCAGTTGGGAAACCATCTCTCTGCTGGCACCGGGATTCCCTCTGCTTCCGGCTAAATAAGCGAGGATTCCATTAGTTCTATCCCTGGGTCTCCTGCTTTCCCAGCGGTGGGCTGGAAAAAGGGAGGGGGCGATACACATGTCACTTAAAAAGGCCAGGCAGGCTATCAGCTGCTTGAGTCAATTGTCACTAGTAAGGTCAATGGTTCTTTCTAGGTGGTCTTTTGGTGAAGTTTAATAATCATAATTATTAAACTTTTCATTCTACCACCTTTTATAAAAAGATTTTTTTTTCCTTTTGATATTAACTGTTGAAGAACAGTGATTGTGGAGAATGTGTACCTGTGTATATTTGCCCTGATTAAATGATTGGAAAGCTTTTAATTTACAGGGAACATGATTTGTGCAGATGATTTGTAAAAAAGCATCTTTTAAAATTTTTCTTATTGTATTCCAAATTAAATTTCTTTTCTTCTCAAAAGCAGCAAGAAAAATGTAAATGCATAGGAAACCCCCAGTTTCTAGGGTCAAAACTTATTCAGAATCTTGGTACTGATATATTAAAAGAAACAGCGTTGTAGTTTCTTGATCTGGGGAGTTAAAATCAGTGCCCATTGAAAATACAGTATTTGTCATTTGGCTGCTTTCAAGCAGTATAGACATTCTTTAGTATTTAAAAATTAACAATAAAATACAACAAAGTAAAATACAACAAATAAGAAGCAAATGAAAGTTTCTGAGGCACTGTTTAAGAATATAATCTGGGCAGGTATTTTTGTGGAGGTCAAGTTGATGAAGAAACCATTAGTATCTTTAATTTCTAATATCTAGATTTATATTCTTAACAAAAACATTGAAATAATTGTCACTAACATACCAGAATTATTTTTTTAAAAAGGTTTTATGAATTTACTTGAGAGAAAGAGCACACACGAGTTGGGGGGTGGGGGCAAGGGAGAAGGAGGGACAGAGGGAGAAGGAGATGCAGACTCCCATGCTGAGCATGGACTCCACCTTGGGGCTCAATCCCCTGAGATCATGACCTGAGCCAAAGGCAAATGCTTAACCCACTGAGCCACCAGTTGCCTGAATACCAGAATTAAAATACAGTTTTCCAAAAGACTTATTCTTCCATTACAAATTCTTACTAGATCATCGTTCTAAAATTAGAAAAGTATCTATAAAAGGCTCTTGCAAAGGCTTCTAGGTGTTATTTAGTGTCCATCAGTCCGGTACAGCTGGAATTTGAAAGGTGGGAGTGACATGGAGGTCATGCTTGTGATGTGTCGGTTTTTCCAGTTGGGGTCCAAGGTCATAGAGGCATACGGTTTTGCTGAGGCCGTTTTAGCAGCAACACTGACAGGGGCAGCATCGATTAAAATCTTAACAAGATTTTAGGTAGAACACAGATTGAAAAATACAGAATCTAGATAGAGCAATACAGAATCTAGATAGAGCAAGATGTTAACATAGAACCTGGCAAAATAATTCTAGTATTCATATGGAAAAGTAAAGATCCAAATCAAGACAATCCTGGAAATTAAGAGCAAGCAGAGGGACTTGACTTTCCAGATATCAAAACTTGTAAAGAATCTATAGTACTGGTGTGGCAGTAGACAAGTACAACAAATTGAACATAATAGAGATCCCAGAACAAGACCAAGCATGTAAAAGATTTGGCATTTTTCAAAGATGGCATCACAAATCAGTGAGAAAAGGATGAACTATTCAAATGTTGTTGTGAGAACTACTGGGTTTCCATATCAAAGAAAATAAAATTAGGTCCTTTCTTTTCACCATAAAAAAATAAATTCCAAGTGAATTAAAGATCTAAATAGAAAAGGGCGAAACTTTAAAACAATTAGAAAGTGATATAGGAGAGGGGTGCCTGGGTGCAAGGTTGACAGGATGTAGTCCATATATAAAAATTAAAAATCAATTGTATTTCTATGGCCTGGCAACAAATAATTGGAAATTAAGATGAAATTTTAAATTTAAAATTTAAAATAAAATTAAAATGAAAATGTACCTCATTTCAGTGGATTACAAGCAAAACAGTTTTATAATTAGATTGCCTGGGTGTAAATTAGAACCCTGTCATTTATTAGACGTTTGATCTTTAATAACATTTAAGATTTTTCTTAAAAAATGCAAATCAGAAAGAAAAGTAATAGGAAGTTCACAAAAATATTGTTAGGCAATTAAAAGATGAAAAGATGCTCCACTTCATCAGCAGGTCAGAGAAATGTAAATTGAAACAACATTAAGATATTTAAAATCCATTAGATTGAGGGGGAAGTTATAAAATTGAATTTTAAAGATACGAAGAAAAAGGAATTTGCTTACATCCTCATAGAAGCTAAATTTATTCATCAACTGGATGTTAATAGTGAGGTTGAAAATGTGCATATTCTGTGATACAGAAACTGTGCTACTAGGTATTTATCACAGAATAGTTTTTAGATATTTTGTCTCTAACCCATTATAAGGAAAATGTTTTACACTATGACACACATAGTACCCACATCTGCATACATATCCATATATATAAAAACAAAGTTTCGCCAGATAATCCTTACCCTTTGTACATACATTGCTTTGTATTTTCTATCTTATTTTACTTTAAAATGAAAAGAATACTGGTAAAGACCCAGAAAAGTGATTTCACAATTCATAGGCAGGTCAAAATGTGGAGCTGGTAAAGGTGAAACTTGGTAAGCTTAATATTGGCCTTAATCCTTGTCTAGTGCATGTGTGCAAGAAGATGTGTATAAAAATGTCCATTGTAGTAGTAGTAAAACAATGAAATTAAATACCTTAGTAGGGAAATGCGTAGTACAATTTTATACTCAGAGAACATAATGAAACGGGAGTTTTATGTATGGAGGTGGGCAGATCTCCATTTTCTTGAACAAAATAGTGTGGGCAGGTTTTTGCTAGATCAGAGTCATTTCATCGTTAAGTTCTTTAGTGAGCGACTGGAGGACTTGCTAATTATGAAGATTTGAGTGTGTTTTATGCCATATTTACAGTCAAGACTATTGATACTCTGTGGCAAAAAGAAAATAAAGAAATTTCATTGTTACTCTCATTTAT